CTAAGAAAGGCTGCTTGTTACACCTCACAATCACGCCAACGACAACAGCAAAAATACTCAAATGTTGAAACAGAGCAAATTTTCGCATGAAAATTTCTGCTATGGGCACAAATCTACCGAAGAACCAGCTCAAAAGCTGCCAATGAGATCTAGGAAGTGTTGATAGTGGAGACATCTTGGCTTGCTTTAGAAAATCGCAATATAAGTCACGTAGAGTCACTTCAAAGATTTCATAGGCTTCTTTTATAAAAATCAAACGGATGATGCTAAGGACGAGTTGAGTTGGGGAAGACGAAGGCGATGCGCTGACTACACTGTCAGAAGCAAGAACAATGACCAATCAATGGTTCCACTGAGGTGAGTAGTCACTCTTTTTACTGATTACAGCTAACCAAAGTGCGTTCTACGAGTGAATCAGTCTTGTTACGACGGAATTTTTATCGAGATACGATCCATCTACTTCCAGTTTTTACAAGCAGTGTGGATCACTTTCCCCACTCAAAAACTCGGCTGTTGATCTATTAGCCCAGCGATGACTCAAAAAGCAACCTCGTTATTGAGCAGAGCCTGATCAATCATGTAATCACGCAAACGCTTAACCAGAGCAAAAATTGCAAGGTACCTTCTAATTAGGTATGAAAATGTCTAGTGCACTAACTATATCCATTAGGACCAGATCACGAATCCGCGTGAGGTGTTCATTAGCGGCGGACGCAGCAGAAAAAAGGCTATACAGCACATTATCATGACATAATTATGCTGATTTTCAGCAAAAAAGGTTTGGCAGTGTTGGACCACCGTATACCTGATCAATGAATTTTTTAGTTTGCTGATAGAAGATTGGCTCCACACTACACAAGCCACATTTTGAGCTGGAAAAAGGATTCAGAGAAAGAAGGCTCAATGCTAGGGAGTTTCAATGTTGGTACGCGTTGCAGCTGCTTGCGTATCCAATATCGACTCCTAATTTCTTACCCGATCAAAAGACCTTGTAGAAGGAGGACCGGAGGAGCAAACGGGAAGTGGCCGCATTCATCGACAGACAAGGGGGGCATAAGCACTATTAGAACCTATTTCTCATAGCACAAGGCTTATTAGGACCTATTTCTCAGTGTGCAGTGCACCTGATGCTTCGGCACGGACTGTACAACTGCTCAGGGCTAAGACCGGCAACGATATGTGTTACCATACTCTATCACAATCAGCACAGTCTTCTCAATTTCTATTCGGAATTCAAGAATACTCCAAACCAAACAATTCCACGGTCATTTTGTAGTTTAACTATTGCAGTCTTCCTCAGACTTGGCGGCGCAGTCTAGAATGTGGGGATCGTTGCTTACTGTTTAGCCTACCCGAGCCTTGGCAAGAATCTACTAATTGTATACATTAAACATTAAGAAAATCCTTCACAGTAAGTGGACAATTCGCTTTGCTTTCGTTTTTCCAAGTGCTTATCTGGCATACAACCCAAATTGAAGAATCGGAATATTGAGTGAACGAAAAGCAGTGAGTGCAAGGGGTGCAATTGGAAAAGGCGAGGTAGAATCGGTACAGGCCAAATTATTCTTGCAGACGTTATGCAATGAAACCTTTCGGCAGCAGTCGTCTAAATTGAAACGCTTTTAAGTTGGACATCACCTTTTACTTAGCCAAAATGAGGGAAAGGACTTTAGGTAGTTTCTATGAAAAAACTCTAAAGGGCAGTCTCTGAGGAACTAACAGAACGAAAACGCATCACAATCATGGCAGACGAACCATTGCAAATTTCTTACCACGATATATTTTATTACGGTTTATGCGAGAAACTGCGTCAATCTAAACTAGTGCTGATCTCGAACATATAGATACTTCTAGTTTCGTTAACGCTTTCATCTGCGTCCCATTGTTAGAAAGAACTGACTGAATCTCTTACCGCTTCTTCTTCGCTATGAGTTGCCTCCTCGTGTTCCTCTCCCATCATCGGCGGCGTACGGGGTGGCAGTGACCCAACACAGCTGAACGAATAGAAAATTGCTTCAACCGATTCTATACCACCAAAATGAGGGCCATTTTCCGCTTAAGGACGCCCTCGAGTTATGACCACCTGCCGTCGCACCTCCCCCCCCCCCCATTTTATTTTCCCGATTATAATCAGTTACGCTGGAAGGTGCTTGCCCGCACGCATGCAAACGGGTGCGTTGCAGTTCTCCTCCTCAGGTCAGGTCACCTAGAAGTTGAGGCACAACTCATTTGCTCGAAGCAAGCTTCGGATCGAAGCCTAGGCCCAATCGTAGGTGAAAACATAAGCCTAAGCCCAAGCCTAATTTTGGTTTTTAGTGCTTATGCAGCTCCCTGTGACCTGACCTCAGGAGGAAAACTGAACGTCTCCCTATGAACCCAATGATTAGAGGCTTAAAATTATCAGGAAAAAATGGCGGGTCATAGGGAAAGATTGAATGGGTACCTTGGTGTCGGTGTAATGCTGTTATCACTGCCGCCGGGTTGCTGGTCGGGGTCCTGCGTCTTCAGCCAGTCCTTCCTATAAAAGAGAACGTTTTTACGAGTTTTTTTTCTTCTAGAGGATCTGTAACTAACTTTTTCTTGACCAATCCATCTTCTATCTCAGACAAATCTGGACGTCCAGGATACTGCATGATAATCTTCTTTGCCTGAAAGTTAATACATCTGGATCTGCCGGAAAATATGCGAAAAAAATTATATAAAAAGATTATCGCCCTCAGATTATACAGAAGGATACTATAGAACTAGATAGAAGAGATAAGCGATGAAAAGAAGCAAATGTTAGAGAAAGAATCAATCGATGCACAGTAAAAGCAAATAAATCAATCACGCCGTGCGTACTTTGTCAAATAGGAAAGGTGATTGCTCGTTGGTGGGCTGTGGTCCCCCGAGGGGTTTCCGGGGGAGTGTGGGCGACTCGCATTCCATCGACACGCCACGACCGTACATATCAACACGACTGTGCTAAAACGACGAATATCCTTTTTTGATGTCTACACATGAAAATATCGGTTATGGTCTGTGAGGGAGAGGAGAGCGCGCTACCGCGTGGGAACTTTATGTGCCTTTTTTGAGCTCAGAATCGACCAAAATTGTGCAAAATTATAAGTAAAAAATATATTTGATGGGAAGGGAAATAATATACTAAGCTACGCGAGGTTAAGCATGCAAATTTACAGAAAAAATATAGTGAAAAGAAAAAGGTTGAAAAGAGAAAACAACATGCTTCAGCTATGGCCTTCTTCTTCTCTCGATGCAGTCGCTGCTGGGCTCGTTTATGCTTAAAAATGAGGAACTGTAAAGTCTGAAATTGCTGGTGTACTTGAACTTGAAATGTGATGAAGTAGTCTTCAAATTTCACAATCATTGCCAGAGAATACCACAAAATCAACAAATGGTGGGAGGGACGGCGTTTGAAGAAGTACTGAATGTTGGAAATCACAAGGCGAAGAGAAATGGCTTATAAGGTAGGGAAAGCCGATCACGAAATGATGAGCCTTTCTCTGGTATTCGATCGGATAGATGTTTTCTTCATTTCGCATTTTGTACACACAAAGCACTTCACGCAAACCACTTAGGGATCGAGTTCAGGTGAGGGAGACGTGGTGGGTTTTCCCATAAAAACAGCTGCGCGTTTGATTGGCCGAAGATCTCAAACAAACGTATCCCTACTCTCCTATTGCAATCGAGAAGGCCAAACAAAAGGTGATTCCCTGTAGAAGAGAGCAGCCCTTTACTTTTGAAGAGCGGCTTATTTCTCAAAATTCGAAATTGTTATTTATGCAGATGGAAATAAATACATAAGCCCTAAGACGCATTCTAAGCTGGACCCGTTGCCATGACGTGTTCACAAGTGCTTACGTCGGCAGCAGAACATTCCGCAGAAATATAGGTGCGGTTAGTTCTATTACTAGGAGGTGAACGCCTGATTCAGTCTATTCAAATTGACTTCTGGGAGGTGCAGCACTTGATGGACGCACACCACGATGCGGCTTACAATTATGCGTGTGTTACAGTGTCACAACTTCGAATCTTCCCAGTAGCAGACAGGTGGGTGTACTTCTGCTTTCTGTCACTATTCTTCTTCAGAAAGAGCTTCTCCCCTGTATTTGCAAATTTGAATTGCGAAATTTGAATTTTTAGTCTCAAAGGCGTTGCTAGAAGCTAGGCCCGCTACTTAACGGCGAAAGGCGGAGGAAATCGGGAACCACAAGTTGCTTCAATGAACTTACAAAGGGAGGTCTTTCAGAGCAAGGTGCGCTTTTTCAAAACGGTTTTGTGCATATTGTAGGGACGCATGTAGGGAACGCAAAACCATGTTTCATTTTCGCTGAACGGTTATAGCAGTACCAAAAAAGAAGCATAAGGTACTGTTAAGGGTTCGATCCCCCGTGGCGACTAAATTTTGCATTTGAGGTTTGGCGCCTACGGTTTGGTGCCAAATCGCGCTAAATATCAAAATCAGATGTCAAATTCATCGTCAGGACCATTTTGAAGCCAGCAAGTGGCCGCCAACCTTGATTGCAAAATTTAGTCGCCGCGGGGGATTGAACCATCAAGAGTATTATTCACCACTTTTTTGGTACTACTAAAACCGTTCAGCGAAAACGAAACATGGTTTTGTGGTCCATACATGCGTCCCTACAACATGTACTAAACCGTTTCCAAAAAGCGCACCTTGCCCTGAAAGACCTCCTTTGTAGACCAGGATAACTACCGCGTTTACCAAGGAGTCGAAGGCCATGTGGGCCGGAAACGTCGTGTGATCTTGAATGACCGTTGCCACAGGGGTTACCGACTGGATAGCTCGGGTAGGTGGTCAAGAGAATACCCCTACGACCGCCGGCTAGATGGTCGCACTTCTTCACGAAAGTTCTGAGCGAAAGCAGTGAAGGACTAAGCTCCTTCGAGTAAGGAGTATGCACTGGTTGTACTCTGTCGTGGGCAAACAGCGACGAAAGTTCAGGTTGCTACCTCTTGCTCATTCGAGGGAAACGACGACGATCCAATTGATCGTATCACGTGTACATCAGTTGGATCGTAGCAGCGCGCCTTCCATGTCCCACCCACCCTCAATGTCAATCTCAAAGGGCAAATATGCGCCAACCTCTTCCTGATTAATGTAACATTTTTTAGTGATCATTGCATCTGCATCTGGTCGCAGCGCACTATTAACGGACGAATGCTTAGTACTCGTTCAAAATGTTTCGAAGATCGAGACTGATGTGGTGGTTCTGCAAAGCGGCACAAACGAGCGCAGCTCGACTCAATCAGCTAGGGTAAAGTTTTCCCAACGTAACTTATACGGCACATGTGTAGAACAGAAGAAGACTACCTACGCTTCATGCATGCCTAATCTAAATCTACAGTAGGGGTTTGCAAAGCGGGGGCAACCACTACGTACAAGTTAGCGCTTACCTGGTATTTCCCTTTGCTCTGCCGTTTCACGAGGCCACGGTCGAAAGCGTCGAGATACTGCGGCTGCACGACGACCGGATCTGGTGGTGGCAGTGCATCCGACTGTTCCACCACAATCTTCTGCTCGACCTGAATGGAAGTGCATTCACCTCGCCAAAGCCAGAAATCTGATGTTAACCGCACACACCTCTTCGGCCAATTCCTCCATTTCGCTGTCGGTGTAGTCCTCCTCGTCTTCGGAATCGGCTTCATCCTCCTCCTTCAGTGTCTCCGTTACTATCGGTGCTTTCGGTGGTGCTGGCGGCACAACTTCGTCCTCGCTGTCCTCAAACGAGGTTGTCTGCAAAAAATACTTCCTATGCGGGCTAGTACTCAGATCGAAGGGCAATACGTACCTGGCCGGAAGATTGCCATCCCGAGTGCTTGTGAACAAATCTTTGTTATAAGAGGGCAGCTTCTTTGGAGTGCAGAGTAGCGCACCATCTCCATCTACCGCTCCAGGTCAGCGCTCGAGCAGCTCTTCGATTCCCTGTTTCTCGGAAGGACGGAGTTGGGTGGTTCAGGAGTCGACGACAGCCCCTCAAACAAGGATTCCACGACAAGGTCGGGGAATAAGGGAAAAACTTACCTAGTAAAAAGACTGGCAGGATCTCTAAGGGGCCGGAACCGACACACGATTCGCGGCGAAGGATAACTTCGGACGATCTAGCGTGGCCGTCGCGCGCCGCCGATGGGCTCGACGCCGCCCCTTTCCCGTCTGAGCCTTTATATTTGGCAGAGAGAACGCTAGCGTTGATGGGACAGCTCCGATGAAACACGCTACGCGCAAATCAACGGACAACGGCTGTTTTCGGGTTCTAGGTTGTTTTTCTTGGTTTATTTCATCTCTACATCACTGAAAATTTCGCCTTGGTGGCACGGGTAGGTAATTGGATAGGACAGTCTCAGGACTGTAGCCCCTATCACCAAGTCGTGTGCCCGAGATCAAGCATCCATCTTCTCTTACGACCTCACATGTCAAGGCTAGCCACAGTGAGCTGAAAAGTGTGGCTGGTTGGTGCTCAGCTTCAAAGCCTCCTCAAATTAGGCGTTCATCTTAACTATGCTTTAGCCAATTTCAGCGTTTTGGCGAAGAACGTGGGACATAAGAAGATGTTGGAAAGACACCCGTCCCCTTCTCAAAGTTCCAGCTCACGTCCTTCTAGGAGGAGAGAATCATCAACTGTCCAAATATTGGCTTGCGCAGTCGCGAGGAAGAGGCGTACCTCTCTACGGCTGTTACGTCACCAGCAATGTTGCAAAAATCCTGAGCAGCGAGCTTCTTCACCCAACCTATTGCCTTTTTGCAACACTCACCTGTACTGTGACATCGGTAGCAGCACTTGCAACGGACAGCTGATGGCTCGCTTCCAGTTCTGATTCCTCATCCGGATCGAAGCCCACCTATAAATTACTTTACTCCGCTTAAATACCCACACGTTAGATACCTAAGTAAGTTATTACGAACTAAATATCAATAAGTCATGGAATGATGATGGAAAGGGGGCTTTTCTCAGCTGTAAGGGTTTTTTATTCATGTTGATCATTTTCTGCCTCAAAAAGAGGTAAGAAAAGATGAATTCACCTCAACGCTATGCCACGGCCGCTCTCCATATCCTGCCCGAGAAAGCTTATCTGGCCTCTTAGGGGCGACGGGCACTTTTGGCACGTCGAACGCCGCTCTTTGTTGATTTTTTCTAGCAACTTCCTTAAAGAATAGCGGGATTGAGAAGGCATGCGGAAAGTGTTAGTAGAAATCAATAGCTCTTTGTTTTTGTATTTGTTTTTCGCCATTGCACTTACCTGACTCCTTTGCTGGACGAGTTTGCTCGTCTCTCGTTGCACCTGTTCTGGCTGTGCTGCTGAAATCGAACCGTTCAACGATTCTGCAGGTGGATCAGCTGATGACGAACCTATAATACTCTCCAACAACTCTTTCACCATCGGTCTGGCGTCGTACATCGGATGTGCTTTGATTCTAGCAACGAGATTCAGACTGACTGGTCCTTTCTCCATTTGCTCAAGCACCTGAAACTAGACCCCGTTCTGAAGATATTCGAATGTGAAGAGCTACCACCCACCTGGTTCATCAGCATATTGAGTGAGTCGATCTCGAGTCGATACGCAGCAGCAGACATCGGTGTTCGAGGAGTAGGGGCTAGCCGCCTGAAACCAACAACTTGAACTGGTCAGCGCAAACAAGGATGTGAGGTGAGAGCTAAGCTCACTTTGCCGGAGCGACTATCGTTTCTGGTTCGTTCGTTACTGGTACGAACGAAGGAGCGCGAGATGTTGCTTCTTGCCTAGCCTGCACGCGAACAGGTGGTCTGAAATAAAGACGATGAGCATAGCGACCCTTGCCCATAGTATTCAGCTTAAAACTAACTCATTCGACCGGGCTGGTTTCGGATCTTCTGGTTGTTCAGGAGACGTTCGCCGTTTCTGTTCCACTGTTGGGGTAGCTCCGGTAGCTTTAGCCGCAGGAGGTGAGTCTTGCACTGGCGGCTTGAACGGAAGCGGAGCTTCCTTTTCAGGTGAGGCCTGAAAAATAAAGACATTTTGCTAGAGCTTCAAGAAAGCAGGTTCAGTTACAGTTTGTTATTGAACATTGCTACGAAATAACATGTGCATTGAGTTGGGGCTCACATAGAATTCATAAATAATAAAACCAAATTAATGAATTAAACCCGTACCACATATCAATTTTAAGCCATGAAATCTTACTATCATTCGGAGTTTTTAAAGATAACCGACTTCACGTTCCCCGAGGCTACTCCACCATCAAAAAACAGCCTCGTTTTTATAAAAACTTCTGTGAATGAAGAGCTTTGTTGAAAGTACAATTTCACATTGAATAGGTGTGTGTTTAGTGTATCCGAAAATTGGAGTAGTTATGGCAATTAGTCTTACCCTTCGCGTGATGACTGTGGTTTGTGCTCCAACGAAAATCTCACTGATTGGTCCCATCTCTACCGTAATTTACCTAGAAAACGTCAGGGGGCTGCTCCACATAAGACGCTTGCGTTGAGCAAAAGCGGGCCTTTGCTTCAATGACTCCATCCCAGTTGTGTGAACACATATTGCTGATTAGTTGTATCAGCGCGTCTTCGTTTGACCCCAGAGCTATTTTTCCATTCAATTACCGCGAAATCATCTCAGTTAGCGTGTAGCATGCCTCTTTTGTTCCTCCTCCTGCTTGCCTGCGGTACTTTCAAGAAGACGCTGCTGTCATTTGCAGGGTTTACTGTATCCAACTGCACCCAGGCTTGCAACATTGGTTATCAGAAATTTCTTCAGACGAGACGCAGGGAGTCTGCAATAGATGGGAGGCCTATGCGATTTCTGTAGAGACCTAGACCGGAGCAAGTTCTAACGACTTTATTCATTTCGGAATGAATTAGAAGGCGTGGCGCAGCCGTGTTCGTCATGAACCACATGTCGCTCGGTAGGAAATAAGTGAGATCAGCGGATGGATAAGCACTTCCCCAATTCACTCGTCCCTCTACTTTGCGTTGGAGGCGCTTATTCGCTGAGTCAGAGCCACCAATTAGCCTCGGATAAATTCGCTAATCCGGACAGCCCAGCGCAGTCATGCCCACTGTTTGATGACGCAGTAGGTTCGTTTTTGTTCAGCGATCCGCTACTATCATTCATCCGCATTTCAGCGTGATGGATGGAATCTTCAATATTCTCCGAGAGCTGTCAGTTGATAAAATTCCTTGATGTCTTTTGGAATCCATCTTTAAGTTGCCGAAGAACTTCTGCTGGGATGTCCAAAGGGCTAGGTTCCTTCCTTTATTCGTTCCTCATGCCTCATCATTCCAGAGGCTCTACCAGTAACTCATTCTCGCTTCCACAAAGGCTCTACCATCGCCACTGTCAATTACATCCGAGGAGACTTTGGTTTCCAGGTTGAGCCTAAGTTCTCGCTTTCACCGTCAACGTCGTGCCACCTGCGTAATGCGTAATTCCAGGTGATCTTGTTATACAGGAACCGGCAAATACCTACGGATACTTCTGCACAATTCCAGCAATCACCTGCTAACTCATAATCTTCGATAACTCTTGCTTTCCGATTCTTTTGCCTCTGTGGCTGAGACCAGTGGCAATCCTCATTATAATTATGCCTTACCCTGATATTGGGTCTTTCGAATTGGCTAGTTACCGTTTTAGCTGGTTCCCTTGGCCCACACCTGACCGCTGATGCCGAAACGAGGCTTCAATCCAATTTGTTCAGAATGTCGCTCCCGTTGTCGGTCGAACGCTTCTATATGGTGGAGGACCACGGAGTTCGTAACTTTTAAACTGAGACTGATCGAATCAGTTCCAGTGGACCCTTAGTTTAAGCTATAGCTTGTGATCTTGGCTATCGAATTCCTAATGCTTGGTTCAAGCTCACTTTCCAGTGAACGTCGACATTGTCGCAATTTGGCTCACCTAGGTATATCCACTAAGCTCCCAATAATTTGCGCTCGATGATTCTTACTTGCCTGCTAAGAGATGAACGAAATCCCAAGGCACCGCAGGCAAAAGTTGCAGCAACCTTCGGCTGCGTGCCAAAAAATTCAACATTAGCCACTCCGCTTACGAAAAACCTCCTGACGGCCCTGAGCGCCTTATGGAACCTTGGACGATTCTGGGAAACAGACCCATGTAATTATCATATTGTAAACACCTCAAGCCTTTTTGATTGTTTGATTAAAAGATTACTAACACCTATGTAAATCTAATAAGGCTGCCTAGCAACAATTCTGTGAACATGAGAATAACAATGACACGTTCTGCCTTTTGAATAACCCTTTTCAAGGCACTGCTTTCCATCTCGTTCAAAAGTGCACTTCAGATAGGAAAAAGATTCCCGCAAGAGAACTGTACTCCTAGTGCACAATCTGGAGCTTTTGTTAACACATTGGCAACAGCGAGACGCGCCTGCGCGTCACATTTTGTGCAGATCGATTCGCTCTGCTTAATCTGTTCCTCTGCTCTATTTTTCATGTCCTCGAACTGTTTTCATTGTAATAAATATCGTATGTTACATTCATTACGAGTAAAGCAGTTCTCTTAGCATTGTGCTGTCCCGGAGCCTCATCAAGACCTAAATGTATAAGGAAGGCATTCGGAAGGCGGATGACATCAAAGGAAATCTTTTTCAAATGCTTCTTGGGTTTTTTGGAACTTTTTGGAATTTTTGAAATTTGGAGTTTTCTGAACTTTTGGACTTCTTTTGGAATAAATTTTGGCGCTTCTTTGTGTTTTACAATATTTAGTAAAGGAATTATTGAAAGAATAATGACAATTTTGAAAGAAAAGGAACCAAAAAGAAACCGAACGACACGCCCAACGGGCTGTCATCAATGTGCCAAATAAGGTTCCTTTTGACTGTCGGCATGCTTTATTTGGAGCTCTTTGGAGTTGAACTTGCTACTTTACTTTTCCAGATTTTCCTACAGGCGACGGAAGGAGCTGCATGAATTTGCACGCATTCGTGGCGCTTTGGGTGGCAGCCATTTTGATGGCCGTTCTTGAAGCGGCTCCGAAACCCTTGGTGAGTGGCTCATTTGAACCGACTTCCATGGGTTAGCGATGGGGTACTAGTATATTTCTCCGTATAGAGGAGGCTCGTGTCACCTATGTATTAGGTTCGCAAATAAATTCGTAAGCTTTTTTTTATCTTTCAAACTTATATGCGGTACTGTATATTGAAGAATTTAGCTAGCATTTAATTGGCTGTTTCAAATTCAGATGATATTACGGTGGACCCTTCTGTTAAAGGCAAGATTCAGGATTGAATTATGAGTTAATTCCACTCAAATGTGAAAGTAGGGGTAGGTAGTGGACCGCCAGTGGAGAAAAAGAAAAAAAATCGTGAAATACACAGGAAATACGAGCCTTTTGCTCTACGGTTCAAAAGGCCGGCAGGGAGATGAGAGATAATGTGAGCGCGGAGAGCGCTAGAGAAGTCCGAGAGAGAGAGCATAGCAGATCAACATTGCGACGCAGACAAGATATCGAGCGGTGGGCGGAGCGTGTCGCAACAGGTGGAGCGTGTCAAAGTTCTTAGCGCCTAGCGTCTAAATAACGCTTTTCGAAGTAGGGAAGTGACGCGACCTCTACACTTGCGTACCTAGCGCTTCTAGCCACCGTAAAGGCTCATTAAGTGGGTCTGAGCCCGAACTTTGCCTTTAAGTGCACCAAATTGCCATGATGGAGCTTAAATTCAACCAAAAAGAACATGTCTGAGAAGTCCTGTTTTATGAGCGTATTCGGGAGGCAAATACATCTCGACTGGCAATTATGGGCGTGTGTGAAAAACACTCGATTCGAAAGACCGCTCAAAATGGTGTTCTCAGTTGAAAGACAACAACGATGGCTCTGACGCAGTTGTCCTCAACTCCTCGAATTTCATGGAAAGACTATGGCTGGCCGAAACCATCAAAGAAGTGCTCGATACTTGGGATAGGGTAGAGTTCAAAAGTGCAGCGCGTGACGCGCTTTGGCTACAACACCGGACCACATCCCGTACCCGTACCAGAATGACCATTTAGGAGCTGCGTTGGGAGAATCCCTCTATTTTATTTCATTGCCATGACGGAGCACCTTTACGCTTTTATTCGTTGCCATCATTGTCTAACATGCTCCCTCACAATAGCGCGTATCCTAAATGGCTCAAAGCATGGTTCACTTATGAATTTCTTTCGAATTGGTATAAATAATTGCCAACTCACTGGTATGGTATTGACTATGAAGGACAGAGAAACCACACAGATTAGCTCTAGTACCTTTTGTGACGAATAACGAAGTAAAATCAGATAAAAAGCTGTAAGGTAGCACGAAGATGTCTTGCAAACTGATACAATGACACTTTCTATTATAACATTTCAAGTCCGTAATAGGGACTATATCAACACGAGTGAACTCCCCATATTAATCTTTCAAAAGCATAGAATTAGGTGAAACTCCAGTTCGGGGGGGGGCACTCCATTGCTATCTTATCCGTAGTACTAGAGAGCAGTTCTTTGGGCTATCGAACACTACGGATAAGATAATAAGTGAACGACTCATTTCGAGCGTACTTTTGATAAGGACCGGTGGATGTCCTACATTCCACACTACCTGCCCACATCCCATCCACTTTTCTGCACAGGTGATCCACCCTGGAGCTCCTGCACCCTTAGCCCTTTGCGGAGGTGTCCTTTCTCCTGGTCCAGGACCGTTCCCTTGGGTCATGGCAGGCGGAAATGTGAAAACGTTTCAGGGTTTCACGCTCATGTACAATCCAATATTTTAGCAAATTCACTGTTAAAAATGATCGATTTACTGTCGTGAGTTCTTTACCATCGCTTACCTTGAGATTGAGAAAAAAATTGAATGCCCATGCCCCCCCCCCGAAACTGAGTTTCACCGAAACACTTATATTGATGTGTATCGATTACTTTGAGCCACCCCACCCCCACCCCGTTTGACCTTCATCGAGTGCGATTGCCTCTATCACAACCTCAGATCCCGCTGATGTACACCTGTGGTAAAATAGAAAGCCGTTGATGTTACTCCCAACATTCTTTTTATTCTGTGGACTCAATTGAACATCAGCCGCCTTGAAATAAACATCCAATTCGAACGACGTTTTTGGCCATTCCTTTCAGGTAGTATCAATTGCTGTACGGTGCTCCTATTCACCTAATACGAAAAACAAGTTATTACGCGTTTCAAAGAGGAAGTTTCTGAAACAATGGGCTCATGAGCTCTTCCATTTTGATGCTTTTTTGATTGTTGACCTAATTTGCTATCGAAAACCAGTGTTTCTCTTCGCTCCGGGCTAGTCGACCCTGACTTTGCTGACTGGGAAGTTCAATGCGGGATTTCTGGAGCATGCCGTGAAACATGCACCTAACTGCCAGAGTAATAGTATGTCTGACTCACGCTCTCCACAGGAATAGAAAATATAATATTTTCCTTTTGAATCGTGCAGAAGTGACAATGCTCGCTTTTATTTAAGGGTCCTCCGAATGCTGCTCTGCCAAGCGTCAGTGGAGGAATTCAGATCCTGTGCAGAACGTTGCGCGGAAGACTTCGTCAAAATGGTCGCCCGATCATCCTGCACTATTCCTCCTTATCACAAGAAAACCGAGTCAACTCAATGCATCCCAGTACAATGCCCCGCCCACAGAAGTAAATGAAATCGCGAACAAGAAAAAGTAATATTAACTGTTCGAAAAGTTCCTCGCTCGTGAATGTTCACTTTTTTTGGTATTCTGAACTGAAAGCAATAAAGCGGTCACTTACTGTTTGCGGCACGTTACTGAGTGTGTTCTTTTTCCGCTGCTGCCCAAGACGATTTTCAATCTGCCGTAATCGTTCCAATGGGTCGTCGCTATCTTTCTCCTGAATTTTGATTCGATTAATCAAGAGCAATAAGGGAGGGTTCCCTTGGGCCATCACCTTAGCTGGCTCCTTCAATCCTCTCAAGCTCTTGTCCTCGCTCTTCATTTCAGCCACTTGTTCACCATCCTTTCGTGCCGTCTGCAGTGCTTTTTTTTTCTTTTTCTTTCTTTCTCTAGTTACTGAAAAAACCACCCAAGCGAAAAATAAACATAAGGTTCCTACCTTCGTGGCTGTTGACAGGGGAGTTCTCGTTGTATTCCTCAGCCTGCTTTCGACGTCGCCGGAATTCTTCAATCTTCTTTCGTGTTTCATTGCTGAGGTGACCGAACTCCATGAAGACGTCCGTCTCATCGGCCAAATCCTAAAGCATAAAGGTACTTGCTCAGAGTTGATGACTCAGGCAGTAAGGCAATTAGGTGAGAAGAAAATGATATCGATCGGATTAATAGGCAAATTGGTGATCAGACAGGTACCCGACAGCGCTCGTCCAGCGCAGAGGCAGAGACGCCAGACGGTCATTTGACCGAAAGTCGCAGTCGTACTGTAGCGATTGAGCGCCACTAATAACGTGCCTATACGAGCGTCCTACATCGCACAATACGCGCTACGACTCGTCCGTTGACGCCCCTGTCTTCTCGCCGCGTGATGGGCCTCCTGTTGAGTAGCCCGATTAGACGATCGCGTGAAATACCCAGAGGGCACAGTTAACCAAACGATATATCGATACGTATGCTTTCGTACTACCCTAGTCGTCGGTACCGGCCAACTCCAACCGCCACGTCATTCGCCTATTGCCTATCCCTGATTCATCCACTCGCCATATACTACTTGTACTACTAACTCGAAGTTTGACTCAAAACCCACTACTGAGACGTTTGCCTGTTTTTAGCAGACCCCCTTGGCCCCAGCAACAGTCAAATCGTTAATTATTATTATAATCTGAATGAAACTATTTCATCGGAGCAATCGATCCTTTCATAATCTCAACGGCACAAACCTGAACGATCATTGTCTCCGCTCTTTCCGTCAGTGGGGTGTGGTCGGTTATCTGCAAAGCATTTATTTACCGAGATATGTCATCGTGGACATGCTGCTTCATTCATTCATTCGACAGTGTATAACACTGAAAAGCACCTGGTTCTCTGGCAATTCCTGAATAACAGGCATATTCTCCTCGAGATTCAACCACCAGTGGCTGGCGATGTCGAAAATGTCAGCACGGCGTTCCGGATTCACTCGCAGCATATTGCGAATCAGCATCGACGCTGCTGAAACAGAGTGTGACGATTTCCCAGAATGAAGTTTAAGACTTGGCATACACTGTTTTTCTCAGGTCATCAACGGAGCATCATGGGAAGACATTTTGGCAATATTTACCCTTTACTGCCCCACTCCTCGAGAACTGAGCCGGGTTTTTTATTATCTTATCTTTTTTTATATACTTCGTATAACATCACATTTGTTTACCGCTAGAACGCCTGGCGCTCGCGTCAGAAGCGCCGGCGCCAAAAGGCGCCAGAACATCTCGGATCCCCAAATTCGCTGGAAAGTTGTCCTCAGAGGTATTTTGACCCGTAGAACATGAATATCACATTAGTTCGTTGCGAGTGAGCCTGTAGCCTGCGCTACGGGTGAAATACCCACGGAAACAAATTTTTAGTCAAATCCTTAATCATGGACGAATTTCGATTGAAATCCGGCACAGTTCTTGAGAAGTGGGGCAGTTAACTATCAGCCGCCTGGTCATGTTCAAGTTAGGTGTTCTGAGTAACCCATTAGTTCTCAATTATTGGTCCCCTACCATAGATGCAAAGATACAACACTCTCAAAACTCGACGAATTCGGATTTAAAAACGGCTTGTGGAACGATCCATCAATGCGATACTCCAACTAGCCGAGGTGTGGGGCAGGGTCAAGCGTCCATCAAAGGCTACTCGACAGTGAGGATATTGACTCCATCTCCAGGACTCCCACTGTGAGCAGCTAGGGTTCAAAAGTTGAATGCGTTTTGAGTTGACACTTTCTACGATTCGATCTCGAACAACCCTCCTATACACGTAATATTCAGAAAAAGGAGAGGAATCCTCCCCATTTTAATCCTGATATATACTTGTCAAAAAGCAGGTAGAGCGTTATTGTGCTCTTTGCCAATGTGTAACAAATATTGGCCAACAGCGCTGTTATAATTTTTGGCCCTATTTTTCAAAGACTAAGGTTTTTAAGTCGCATTGCTCAGAGTTTACAAACTTTAGTTACGAAGCTAAGGGCTAACTTGATGGTGTATCCGGCTCGTAGTAGGCACCGCGCTTGATTTGTCGAACCATTCGATTGAAATCACGTCCATCAAATGGCATGGAACCGTAGACGAGGGTGTAGAGAAGAATACCCAGCGACCAACAATCGACCTTAAATAATGTAGTGACCGAAAAATTGACATATATTGGAGCTAGAACTTACCTCAGGGCCTTTATAAGGGGTGCCATTGATGATCTCTGGAGAGGCGTAGAGTGGACTGCCGCAAAAAGTGGTAAGAAGGGACTGAAATGTATTACGTCAAAAGGAGATTCGAAGATGAAAACGTGAGCCAATTAGGCAGCTGTGGAAGTTATTCACGGTGGGGAAACATTGCGGTGTGCTCAAGGAAAGGAGAGAGGAAAACTGAGTATGAGCTACACATATCCAGGCCTTAGTATTGCTTAAAGGAATCCTTCGCGGAAAATTCTTGCATTCTTTCTCAACATGAATGTGTCAGTTGTGATCACTGGAAACAGCACACAAAGTTTCACGCATGAAGATTCGGTTTCCGAAGAGAAACAAACGTACAAAAACTACACTCTATGGACAATCGAAGGTAAGGGGCGGAGCCAAAGGCGGGCATGGAAAGAAGTCCGCCTTGGGGCGGCTACGTATCAGGCGACGCAATGAAAGAATCGGGTTAAAGCGTGCGATTTTGGAGAGTAGAGACAAATCGATCGATAGAATAGGATGGAGTAGAAGTGTGAGATGTGAATGCAATAAGTCAAAAGGCCAGAAAGAGTTTCTAGTGGACGGCACTCCAAGAACCAAGCGGAAGCAATCAAAAGCAATCCTTTCGTCAGCATTTGTGATAGATGTCGCGTACACGTAGCAGCCCTCAGGTTTTAACGAACAATGCATTTACTGTTTTGTTTCATTCTTACCGCCGGACGACTGCAGTCGCAAGCCAGTGAATTTATGGGAGTACGAATTTACGAATTTTTTTAAATGAATGATTCCTAAGGATTCCTTTCGGTGCGGTCGCGATTGGCATGGAAACTCACAGGAATTTCAAGAGTGATGAGCAATTATGTGTTGATTCAGTGCAAAGGGAGAGTAATGGAGAAGTTGGTTCACATCCGTCATGAACGGCACCTTCAGAAGATATTATTTTTCTGCACGAATGATCTCGCGAAACGTCAGGCCACCACGGTAATAAATTCTCACCTAACACCACTTCAGCAGAGAAGATAATATCATAACACAAGGGTCCTGTCTTTCAAAAAGCGTATCTGACTAAAAGACAGATCCGACGAGACTCCACCGGAATTGAAACTTAAAGTCATCTCAGACTTGCAGCTGGCAGACGCTTACTCCAAGAAATAAAATGCTTCGCATGGGTCTTTTCAGAAGAGTTAGCTTAATTCATTGAAAATAGCCGGAAATTGCACCGTAACCAGACCTACGAAAGTAAGAAAGTCTCATTTTTGAAGGAAAATAGAAGACATTGGAACGGAGAATGTACATCGTCATATGGCATTGTGAAACGCGACATGCAAGAGATCGGTTCTGTCGTGCTGCACTTGTGCACGCTACTAATCAAGAGTCTGAAACACGGGTCTTCCTTTTGATCATTCGCCTTGTCCACTGTCTAGTTATTGTAATGAACGTGGGAGTAACCGCCTCCGATTTGCACTTCTGAAGACTTATAATTTGACATTCGCCGCTATCATAAAAAATTGCCTTCAAGGAGAAGAATATTTAAATAGACTGTAGGAACTGAGAACAGAACTCAGTTCCGGCTATGAAGCAAAATACAGCAAATATGGATTGGTGGTATAGGGTTATTGCACAAGGTTCCAGAGCGAACTCAAACCATGGAAGAGAACGAACCTTTGTCCCAAAATAGTTGGAGAGGCCGAAATCGGCGATCTTCGCGTTATTATCCTGGTCGAGCAGGATATTTTCTAATTTGAGATCCCTATGAGCCACTTGATGCTGAAACAGCTTTTTAAGATTCATGAAAACTGACTTATATTTATTTATATGGATCCAATGGTGGACATTCACTTTCACAACACTCTAATAGACAGAAAGGCTCGGTAAATAGGTTCATGAATCATCCAGCATTCATTTTAGGTGAAAGTCAGGGGTCAACCGTCCGTTGGACAAAGTCCAACGGGGGGGGGGTCGTATTCGGCCGACGAAAAGGGGGGGGTCGTATTTGCATGGTCACAAGCAGCGTCAATTTTACACCAATGAGGGATCGTAGCGTGACGCTTTACACTTTGTGAGTACCAACAGAAGAAATTTGCCGTTTCACTCTTGATGTGCCCCCCCCCTACTCGACAGCTATTTGAAATGTGGGTAGAGTTGGGTCAGCTGGTCTTAGAATCAAATACTATAGTAAAAGCTGGGGGGAGGTCGTTTCGTGGCTCTCCAGAAGGGGGTGGAGTCGTAAAATTTTTGAAATTTGTCCAACGCGACGGTTGACAATGGGTGAAAAGGCCTTGGGACAGCTCACCTTGTGACAGTATAGTACGGCTGATGTGATTTGCCGGAAAATTCGCCTGGCTTCACTCTCTGGCAACGACCCAAAACGAGAGACATAGTCGTAAAGTTCGCCGCCGCTTGCGTATTCCATGACCAGAATGATTTTTTCTCGATTCTCGAACACTGAAATTACCTCTTACCTGCAACCGGTACCCACGGCCACAGTTCGCTGAAAAATCTGGCCTACCCTCAAAGATCTGGATGATGTTTGGGTGATGAAGAGCGGACATAATCCGGATCTCACGACGTATTCGTACCAGATCGGCTTTGTTTTCGATGGCGCTCTTCTTGATCAGCTTCACTGCCACCTGTATATACATCATTATTTTGAACATATTTCTACTTTCTAGTGAAACTCCAAAAATGCTGATGCTCACTGTAGGGAAAAGGAAGGTGAAGATCAATAGAATGAATAATTCAGCCGTGAACGACAACAATGGCCATGAAACTTAAGCTCAAATAATGGTGTGAAGTCTATTGATTAATTGATCTTGCTATTAAAAGGCACATGTTTTGCCGTTATTGTTGCGATGCGTGTTAAGCCATCACAAGAGTTCTCGGCATAAATAGTTTCGCCGTGAGTGGTGATTGTATCCGCAAACCCTTTTTTCTTCGCTGCCCGTCGGTTGCCCTCGCTGTATTTCTCAGAGTCATTTGACTTGCGTGAGTGCTGACAAGAATGGTTTACATGCCATATTTTATACCGACTAAAAGTACAAAGGTTTCGAAGGTAAAAAATCAGGAAGTCAATTAGGGATTTGCCAGCCAGAACCTCTCTAAGTTGAGGAAGAGGGGCCTTCAAGCAATGGGTCGCAACACTTGTCCCGACTCAAAGTGGCGCAAGCGGCTGCTAAGGCCGTGCCTGCGTTCGTGCCCTGTATCCCTTATCCTATCATTCGCGGCATACGTGGTGTTTTCACCTTCTTGCGCACGCGTTCTACCGCTTTACCCTTTCCTCTCAGAGCTGTCTCCACCATACCATGGCCAAGCTCACGAGGGAAATTCCAGTATTTTCGAAGGACTGTTGTGGCTTTTCTCCTTATGCAAGCGTTCTCAGAGTGGCCATTACTCAGGTTTTTGAACAAGATTATATTACAGTCGACCGACCCGTGCCTTCAACGTGAGCGGGTGCACGGTAAAAACTGGGAGATAAACGGACGCGTAACTTCGAATCGCATCTGGGATCAAGTGTACTGCCCATAACTCATCAACCCTAGTGAATCAAGATATTGCCTCCTTTCCGCCGTATATGTTAGGTTACTAATTTAGCTCCCTGGGAGATTGATTTAGGTTACGTATTCGCTCCACGAAACGGCGACCGGTCTAACATCAGCTGGTGGGTTCGAGTGCACACAATAGAACAGTTTTCCGGATGGACGTAGAATGAAGGAGTGCAACCATATTAGGACAAACTGCAGCAACACAGGTATAGATGCTGCAACCTTAGAAATAGAGTAGTTTTCCATGGGCGAATGCTTCTCATATCATGCGTAGCAAGCCCCAAAATAGGCTATGGTTTCTTACCGCATGTTCCAACTACTTCTCTTGTGAAATGAAATGGTAAGCAGGCCATTCGAGTGAAGGCTCTGGATGAAATGTTTCGACTTTTAGGCGTCAAAGAAGGCTACGGAAACGTTTTCATTACATGAAGTGCAGCGATTCATTGTGGAGAGTAGAGAGTAATAGCCCTCCATTCCAATCAACCCACGTGAGTTTGGAAAAACATTCCAAGAGAATGTTCTTCTGGAGAAGACGTGAAAAAAATCTCTCTATGGGATGACCAAGCCGATTTCTGAGTCATTCTTATTTTTTACGAGTCATTCCTGGCAAATCAGCTGTGTACTACCAGCACTACACGAATGTTATGGAGGTGATTCATGGTGGCTATTTTTGCTTCTCCGAAACTGCGATTGTTTCACAAGAATGCTGATTGTTAACTAAAGGTTCGCCCTAAGCGGACTCGAACCAGTGCCTCTCAACTGCCGAACAAGTGTGTCATAAGTTACGCAGCGCTCGAAGCAGTCAACGGTTAACGAGAAAAAAAAGTTACCAATTAAAACATGTCGAAAGTGCGATCGCCTTCACGAGCGACGAAAAAAAAGTGCATCTACCGTATCAAAATCAAAAAGTAGAATGCGTGCCGCATCCCAAAAAGGGATTGATCAACGGCAAATGTTTTATTCTCTATCTTTTACCGTATCAAAATGCATTCTCGTTTAGAAGCCCTGACCCTGAACAAGTTGCTGGTCCCTTGCTCTCCTCCTGTCCTTCCGGCTGTGTGATCGATAAATCCATCGCGGCCGTCCTCCGCAAAGCTCAGCCGTTGTAACAGAAAGACCGGCGGTTTTTTCGTTCGCCACCACCACCTCGAACGATAGTTAACAGCACTGCCGTACAGCCCTACGAGTTCAAGTGGGCAACGTCTGCGAAGCCCCACTGAGCGATCGGCGACACATGGCTCCAGTAGTTAGTCACACTTCTCAGCAATTCAAGCCCTTTTCAGCGCTCACAGACTCCCTTGTAGGCCACTCACAAAGAACAAGTAATGGGGGCGAACACCAGGATTTTTGTATAATCCTCACTCTGTTGCCGACCAGTTTGCAATGGAAAGTGACAGTTCAAGGCAAGGCAAAGGGGGCAACTTCGTATTCTCATGTAGGTCTTTCTTCGTTTTAAGCCAAGAGCAAAAAAGCAGTGGTGTACACTTATGATGTCATCTAGAAGCCACTCAAGTCCAGATTAATTAAGCAACCTTACGCATCATCATCTCATCACTTCAGCGGGGGGGGGGGGGGGCGCGGGAACGGCATTAGAGATAGGGGTCAGGTTACGTGTTCAACCGCGAACCTTTACAATTTGCATTCATAAAATGACCTACACAGCGACATGGCGCAATGGCTAGAGTCGCAATCGCATTCTGGCGTCCACGCGAAGGATGAAATCTTCTCAGATCAGTGACTTTGGTGAATGAGAACGGAAAACATGAGCTGTGATCAACAAGTATAGGAAATCCAATTTTAGTGCCAACCGTTCAAATATCGTAAAAGTAGTGGGGTAAAAGTTGAATGGCTTGCGTCTCTGAGATTGATTGGCCACCGCCAAACAGTCGTCTTCTTGCTCAATAACCTCTGCCTGTCAAATGTTATGGGGATGTGGAACCCGAAAATAGTCGCGCCACGGCGCTCTCTCCATCTATCTGGTTGCATCTTCCCCTCTGCCTATGTACCTAAACAGACAAGCGCGATTTACACCTGTGTTCTGCCAACGAGTAGAAGGACTTCAGCGTTGGTCTTCAATGCGGGCCATGATTCTCAAATCCGCTAGCTCGAAATTCCGAATTACTTCCTATAAGTATGTAAGCGAACCACGAAGACCAATGAAGCGACGAGTACTGAGCCAGCTGTTATGCGATTCTGAGCGTTATCGCCCATTATTCGTCTGACCAATCAATTTTTTGCCTTCGTTCATAGTTCAAAGTGCGGCCGATAAAGTCCAATTATGCAACAGTTGATTAGATGTAAAGATTAAAAGATTCACAAGGCAAAATTGGTGCCCTTTCGTAGGGACTTCCCATTCTGCGTCCCAAAGTGAGAAGGAAGTAATTATTAATCAAGAAGTAATGAACCAGGTGCATTGTGTGGGCAGTCCTAGATCGTGCACCATCCAAAATGATCGAGTCTCCTTCTTTGAGGGATCGGCTAGTTGATACCAATTCCGCCTGGGAGCGGATAAATATAATAGCAAAACACTGATCTGGACATTGTCTTAAGCTCCAAAGTCACTGTGCAGGTTGGAAAGGCCACTAGGAATAATGTTCTGAATGAAAGTAGAAGGCGTGGCGCATCCCGAAAGGGGCTTGATCAATGCCGGATGCGTTACCCTTTACCCTTTGATTATTGATAAACGGACATAAACAGCAGTTGAATGAATAGCTATTGTCAACATGGAGAAGCGAAGAATGCAAAAAGGCAAGAAATTAGGAACTGGTAAAACGAAGTCAGAGCGATTGTGATTATCGGCCGATTTTTACTCACTTCACGGTCGAATTTGTGGTCGAACGCCAACGAGACCTTTCCGTATGTACCGGAGCCTAACTTTTTTGTGATCTCGAAGCGGTGTTTGACATCCTTTTTCGTCGGACTTGTTGGATCTGGTCCAGAGAGAGGGTGACCACCTGAAAGTGTTCAGTTAAAATACTGGAAAGGAAGCTCTGCTTGCTTTGATACTCTTCCTACAAAATGATGCCTGATGATTCCCTTATCAGCCATCGTCCCAAGTCTGTTCTCACCCATAGAGGAGTTTTTCTGCTCAAAATTGAGGACAAGACACTCTGGACTTTTCGTACGATGTCATCGCGACGTACTCCCCCGAGGCAATCCTCGCAAGGACCGGCTGTGACAAACGGCCCATGCCGTGGTGTGGATGGCCGTCATCACGCATACACACTCACACGACCCACGCAATTGTGCAGGCGGCAGAGGTGGAAAGAATGGGTCTTTCGGCATGACTAGTTGGTATTAGAAACGGATTTCGTGAGAGGTGAATGGTTATGCGTTAGAGGAGTTCTTGGACTAGCACCACAGACACCCGCTATGGGCTAATTTGAGGAGTAGGTGTAACCACTAGCGCGTGTCCAAAACACTAATTCCGGGAGGAGGGAAAGGTCCGAGTAAGTAGCCAGCCTTCTGCTAGCTGCTACATG